ATGCAATTCCAGAGTGACGAGAATGTCAAGAACGGCGGTTTGTCCCGTTATCGCTCACGTTGGAGACAGACCCCCACAAACCACAGCAGGGACCTGCTCCCCAGACGCTCCCGCGGGAGCCCATCTTTAAAGGCACAACAAGCCTTGGGGGTTCCTTGTCTGTGGACACGCTCAACTCTGATCGTCCGCTGCTGACGGGGCTTAAGCCAGAGGATCGCTGCAACCCCAGGGCCTGTGCACGATTCCCTGTGCCAGGGGCCACGGGGAGAATTTGCAGGAGAAATAAAACGGATCAGGATGACCAAAGGCCCCCAAATGCAAATGCAGAAGAACGTGACCTGTGAACAGGCTGTTGGTGAGAAGAAGCTTGGTTCAGTCGCTGCCAGAAACGTAAACGTGATCTGAGGCCACACAATGAGGGTGTTGTGCTTAGAGTAAGGGCAGGGAAAGGGCCTACGTACTTGGAACCACAATCTGGGGACACAGAAGGGACTCTGGCAAACAGCTGTTCAGGGACCACAGGGACCCCACAGGCAGGGGGCTGGAAACTGTAGCTTTGGGGCCACTGACTCGGGGGAAGAGAGGATGGGGGCGAGGGGGCTCTGGAGGGCTGGCGAGCAGAAGAGGAAGTGGCTTCACTCTGCACGGTCCCCCAGATAGGACGGGCCAGGCACCGGCTTCAGCCTCTCAAGGAATAACTTCCTATCAGTTAGAGCTGCTTGAGGGGGAGCTGACCTGTTTTGGGAGGTGGTGAGTTCCCCGCACCGGAGGCAGGCAAGCAAGGTGCTGTGGATGCTGCAGAAGGGCAGGGCTGGACCAGGTGGTCTCTGAGCCAGCAGCCAGGTTGCCTGATAAAGCCCACCTGGGCCACAGTGGTCTGGAGCAGGGAAGAGCTCCGTGGGCGGCAGGCCTGTGACCTACCTTCTCCCTGCTGCTGTGGGCGGTCAGGGAGCGGTGGGCTGCCCTTCGCAGGGCCGTCCTGTAGTTGCAGAAGTTCCCCGTTGGGTCCATCTGGTGCTGGAAGGAGACAGGGAGGCATTTGGGCAGCCCCGCGCAGGGACGGCCGGTGGCGCCGGGCAGCCCAGCTACCTTGCTTACCTCGAGGATGAAAAACTTGGCCATCTTCACTTTGGCCCAGGTCTTCCTCAGCCTGGAGACAGGGCTCATGTTCATGCCGGCTGGAAGAGGGAGGGCCGGGAGGCCCGTGTAGCTGCAGCCAGCCCCTGAGACGGCCGCCGGGCCAGGGCAGGTCTGCAGCGGCCCCGCCCACGGGGGGGTGCCGGTGGGCACTGTGTCGAGGTGGGCCCCGCCTGTGTATGCAGAGCCTGTCCCCATCCTGCGGCCAGTGCCTGCTTTGGGCCCTGTTCTCTGGATCTGGGGACACACTGCCGAGTCCTCTCCAACCACCTGGGAGGCGTGCCTCGAAAGGGGTGCCCCCAGGGCCTCTGAGGTGGGGCCACGGGGCTGACGGCTGCCTGAGGCCTGCGGACAGCCCAGCCCACACCCTCCCGCTGTGAGAGGAGGGACCTGACTCGCACCCACCGCAATCTCTCGGGGTCTTCACGCCGGGGCGCCCGGCCTGGCGGCCCACTCACAGATGATGGCCATCAGAGAGTTGAAGTTGCCGATGTTGAAGCACTCTCGGGCCACGTCGATGAAGAACTCGATCACCTGGGCCCTCTGCTGCTTCTTGGCTGGCTGGGGACAGGGCGCCAGAGCCTCAGCGGTGCTGCGCTCCCACCCGGCCCGGCTGTTTGACTTCTCCAAACTCGTCTCACAGCTGAGAAACTTGAGGCCCAGGGAAATGTCCCAGGACTCAGGGCCTCCGAGCTCTCCAGGGCCAGAGCCAGCAGATAGCCCACAGCCATGGAGGGCTCCAGCGGGCCCCGTGGGGGTGCAGGAAGCCCCTGCAGCCCGGGAGGTGCTGAGAGGCACCTCAGGAGCAACTTGGGGGCTCCCCGCATCAGAAGGCACCACCTGCCCCTTCTCCCAGCCCCGGGCTTGCTCTTCCCTCCCTGGGGCCGCACGCTGACCCTGAGGCCTGTCCCCTAAGCAGCCCCTCCAGCACTTTCTGTGGAATAACTGCGTGACTGCGAAGCCCCCTCTGATGCTCAGAACCACGCAGCGCCCTTGCCCGGGGCTGCTGGGCCGAGCTGAGCCCCCCGTGGCTCAGCCCAGGCTTCACTCGGGTAACCCCAGCTCAGCTGCCGGGCCGGAGACTCAAGGATAGGAAGTGATGGCCTTCTGCTTCCCTCCCCAGTGGGCTCCTGTCAACCCCTGGGCCGCCTTGGGTCGTGCCTACCGCCAGCTCACGCCCTCCTGGCTTTCCACTCACCATGCAGATCTCAGTTGCCACAAGGTAGCACAGTCTGTTAAACCACTGCACGTAAGCCTCCAGGCTGTTAGTCTCGTCACTGAAACATGGCTGGAAAGGCACATAGGACCATGCTCTTGAGTATTTTTGTCAATAACTTCTTAGAACATGAAGTCAGTTCACGATCCTTGCAGACGACCTGGCGTCAAAACCTCAAAACCATCCAGAAATACCAACGAGGTGGTGTGTGTACCCTTCTAGTCTTTCTCCTATACACTTAAAGATGCACTTTAAAATTATGTACACACACACACAATCCTCATTATTCATGAATTCTGCATTTGTGAATTTGCCTGCTTCCTAAAAGTTACGTGTAACCCCTCCACTTGTGTTGATTTTGCAGTCACTTGTGCACAAAGAACAGCAAAAAAACCTGAGTTACTCAATGTGCGTGGACACCCCCAGCTGAGGCTGAGCCACGTGACGCTCTCCCTGTTTCAGCTCTCACACCGTGAACAAGTGTTCTTTTTTTCCGGCCTGACAGTGTCATGTGTTTTGTATTTTTGTGCTTTTTTTGATAATTTCTCTGTTTAGAAAGGCCCCTAAGTGTGGTGCTGAAGCGTTGTCTGGTGTTCCTAAGCGCAAAAAAGCTGCGCTGTGCCCTACGGAGCAAGTACGTGTTAGGTAAGCTTCATTCAGGCATGAGTGACAGCGCTGCTGGCTGGGAATTCAATGTTAATCAACAATATATTAAACAATGTGGCTTTAAACAGAAACAGACACAAAACAAGGTTCTATATTGATCAGCTGACAAAAATGTGCTAAGAGCATCGCTGGAACCTAACCCTGTATTTCCCCTGGGAGCAATGGTTTGGTATTTGCTAACTTAGTGTTTGTGCCGACGTTACGGAATTGGGAATAACAAGAATCAACTGTACAGCCAGGCGCGGTGGCTCACGCCTGTAATCCCAGCACTCTGGGAGGCTGAGGAGGGAGGATTGCTTGAGCTCAGGAGTTCGAGACCAGCCTGAGCAAGAGCGAGACCTCATCTCTACTAAAAATAGAAAGAAATTAATCGGACAACTAAAAATATAGAAAAAATTAGCCGGGCATGGTGGCACATGCCTGTAGTCCCAGCTACTCGGGAGGCTGAGGCAGAAGGATCGCTTGAGCCCAGGAGTTTGAGGTTGCTGTGAGCTAGGCTGACGCCACGGCACTCACTCTAGCCCGGGCAAAACAGTGAGACTCTGTCTCAAAAAAAAAAAAAAATATGAAAGGATAAATACAAGCTGAACATCCAACATAAGAAATTAGAAAAAGAATAACAGAATAGATCTAAAGAAAATAGATTAAAGGAAATAAGAAAGGTTACAGAAATAGTAAAGAAAACTACAATATATACAATCAACAAAGCCAAAAGATCTTTATTTGAAAAAATTAATAAAATTGATGAACTTTTGGCAAGACAAAGAAACAAAGAGAGAAGTAAATAATAAAGAACATTGGAAACGAATCAATACGGATGTGAAGAGATTAAAAAGACAACTAAATTATTGTGAATAACTTTACATCTATAAACGTAAAATCTTGGGGGAAATGGTCAAATTTCTGAAAAATATAAATTACAAACAGACTGAAGAAGAAGTAGAAAACATAAATAGTCCAGAACCACTAAAGCAACAAGAAGAATAAACCAACCAGTAAGAAAACCTTGAATCAGTATGAGGAAGTCATCCCTCAAAGAAAACACCAGGCCTACGTGGTCTCCCTGGCTAATTCTACCAAATGCTCCAAGAACAGGCAATTCCAGTCTTTCACACAGAATAGAGAACAGGGAAAGAGAAACAAAGACCACACAAAAACAGTGTCAGAAGGGAAAATACCAGGTCAGTCTCACTCAGGATTATACTCGCTGAAATCCAAAACAAAATATCAGCAAACCAAATCCAGGGATGTCCAAAAAAGATAATGATTTTGTTTACCCCAGTTTCATTTATCCCAGAAGTGCAAGGTTGACTCAACGTCGATTTTAAAAAGCTATATAAATAATCGCATAACAGTTTAAAGGAGAAGAGAATATGTGAGTAATAGATCCAGAAAAAGAATTCAATAAAATTCAACCACCATTCATGATAAGAACTCCCAGAAAACTACGTAGGAATAGGGTACTTTCTAAAGCTGATGACGGGCATCTAAAAATACCCTGCAGCAAACATTATACTCCACTGTGACACATTAAAACATTCCTTTTAAAATCAGGACAAGAGAAGGATGCCAGCTATCAACGCTTCTATCTGATATTACGCTAGAGGTGCAAGTTGGAACAGCGAACAAGAAATAGAAAGTGTCAGCCAGATTGCGCAGGGTTATCTGCAATGACCAACAAGCTCAACATTTCAGAGGTTTAAAATGATGCAACCTGTCATTCTTGTCCATCTCATATTAGCAGAGGGCTCTGTTCCATGACTGACACAGAATAAAAAGAATGATGATTCAATAGGAAGGAATAAAACTATCGTTATTCTCAGATGATGTGACTGTCTGCATAAAAAACCCCCCCAAGATACAGGAAAATTATTGGAATCAGTAAGAGCTTACAAAATTGTCAGATATAAAATTGACATACAAAAGCAAATTACATTCCTTAAAGCAGCAACAAGCAGACAGAGAATACAGTAAGTTCACAGTGGAAGGAAGGGACCGATATGGAACCTATGCTCATTTATTTGAGAATATGCATTCTTTTCAAACACACAGAAATCTAAAAACACATGTAAAAATAATCTATGCAAATGGATTATTTTGTATGCAATCACAAAAATATGCATGAAGTACCTAGGGAAAAATCTAACAAAACCTGTATAAGACAGGAGAAAATGATAAGACATTAGAAAGACATCATAGAGCAGACCTAAGTCAGTGGAGAGACATGCCGCTTTCATGAATTGGAAGGCTCAATATGATGAACACGTAAATTCTTCCCAAATTGATCCATATTTAATATATTCTAACAAAATCTCCATAGCACTTTTCGTAGAATTTGACAAGTGATTCTAAATTTAAATAGAAAAGCAAAGGGTCAAAAATAGCCCAGCCACTGCTAAAGAAGAACCTGGGGGTTTGCTTTAGCAGACACCGAGACTCCTCACAAGATTGCAGTAATTAAGACAATGTGTCTTGACACAGACGG